ACAAGTCTGTTTGGGGGCACACGCTGTATGAAGATATAATTTGTGATATCAGTAATTGAAAGGAGTGGGGACAGAGAAGTAAGGGGCAGAGTTACTATATGCTATTAAAGTTTAACTGGTATAAATTCAAGTTAAGAGTGTATATAACTTTACAAAATTATGTGTAATTCTCATGATAAACACAAAGCAAATAAATATAGAATACACTCAAAAGGAAATGAGAAGGGAATTTTTAAATTTCACTAAAAAAAGAAATTTTAAAAAACACAAAAGATGACAGCAATGAAAGAAATGAAGGGGGAAAAGCTATAACACAAATAGAAAACAAATAACAAAATGGCAAAGGTTAAACCCTCCTTATCAGTAATTACTTTAAATGTAAATGGATTAAACCATTTTATCAAAAGATAGGGATTAGCAGAACAGATTTTTTAAAAAACCAATGATCCATGCCCTCTGTAAGAGACTCACTTTAGTCCAAAGACCCAAAGAGGTTGAAACTGAAAGGATGGAAAAAGATATCCATGTAAGTAATACCCAAAAGAGAAGTTGGTAGTTATATTAATATCAGAAAAAATAGACTTTTTTTTTCCACTGGGGTATAGTTGCTTTACAATGTTGTGCTAGTTTCTGCTGTACAATGAAGTGAATCAGCTATATGTATACATATATCCCCTCCCTCTTGGACCTCCCTCCCACCACTCCCATCCCACCCATCTAGGTCACCACAGAGCACTGAGCTGAGCTCCCTGAACTATACAGCAGGTTCCCACTAGCTATCTGTTTTACACATGGTAGTGTATATATGTCAATCCCAATCTCCCAATTCATCCCACCTCCCCTCCCCACTCCCATCCACATGTCCATTCTCTACGTCTGCATCTCTATTCCTGCCCTGCAAATAGGTTCATCTGTTCCATTTTTCTAGATTCCACATATATGCATTAATATATGATATTTGTTTTTCTCTTTCTGACTTACTTCACTCTGTAAAGTCAGACTTTAGGTCCATCCACATCGCTACAAATGACCTAATTTCATTCCTTTTTATGGCTGAGTAACATTCCATTGTATATATGTACCACATCTACTTTATCCATTCATCTGTCGATGGATGCATGTTTCCATCCATCAGGACATGGTTGCTTCCATGTCCTGGCTATTGTAAATAGTGCTGCAGTGAACATTGGGGTGCATGTGTCTTTTTGAATTACAGTTTTCTCAGGGTATATGCCCAGTAGTGGGATTGCTGGGTCATATGATAGTTCTATCTTTAGTTTTTTAAGGAACCTCCATACTGTTCTCCATAGTGGCTGTACCAATTTACATTCCCACCAACAGTGCAAGAGGGTTTCCTTTTCTCCACACCCTCTCCAGCATTTATTGTTTGTAGATTTTTTGATGATGGCCATTCTGACTGGTGTGGGGTGATGCCTCACGGTAGTTTTGATTTGCATTTCCCTAATAATTAATGGTGTTGAGCATCTTTTCATGTGCCTGTTGGCCATCTGTATATCTTCTTTAGAGAAATGCCTACTTAGATCTTCCGCCCATTTTTTGATTGGGTTTTTTTTTTAACATCTTTATTGGAGTATAATTGCTTTACAATGTTCTGTTAATTTCTGCTGTATAACAAATGAATCAGCTATATGTGTACATATATCCCCATATCTCCCTCTTGCATCTCTTTCCCACCCTCCCTATCCCACTCCTCTAGGTGGTCACAAAGCACTAAGCTGATCTCCCTGTGCTATGCAGCTGCTTCCCACTAGCTACCTGTTTTACATTTTGTTGTGTATATATGTCAATGCTACTCTCTCACTTCATCCCAGCTTACCCTTCCCCCTCCCTGTGTCCTCAAGTCCATTCTCTACATCTGCATCTTTATTCCTGTCCTGCCCCTAGGTTCATCAGAACCTTTTTTTTTTAGATTCCATATATATATATATATATATATATATATATATGTTAGCATACGGTATTTGTTTCTTTTGTTTTTCTTTCTGACTTACTTCACTCTGTATGACAAACGCTAGGTCCATCCACCTCGCTACAAATAACTCAATTTCATTTTTTATGGCTGAGTAATATTCCATTGTATACATGTGCCCCATCTTCTTTATCCATTCTTCTGTCGATGGACACCTAGGTGGCTTCCATGTCCTGGCTATTGTAAATAGTGCTGCAATGAACCTTGTAGTACATGTGTCTTTTTGAATTCTGGTTTTCTCAAGGTATATTTCCAGTAGTGGGATTGCTGGGTCATATGGTAGTTCTATTTTTAGTTTTTTAAGGAACCTCCATACTGTTCTCCATAGTGGCTGTATCAATTTACATTCCCACCAACAGTGCAAGAGGGTTCCCTTTTCTCCAGCATTTATTGTTTGTAGCTTTTTTGATGATGGCCATTCTGACTGGTGTGAGGTGATACCTCATTGTAGTTTTGATCTACATTTCTCTAATAATGATGTTGAGCAGCTTTTCATGTGCCTCTTGGCCATCTATATGTCTTCTTTGGAGAAATGTCTATTTAGGTCTTCTGCCCATTTTTGATTGAGTTGCTTGTTTTTTTGATATTGAACTGCATGAGCTGTTTGTATATTTTGGAGACTAATCCCTTGTCAGTTGCTTCATTTGCAAATATTTTCTCCCATTCTGAGGGTTGTCTTTTTGTCTCATTTATGGTTTTCTTTGCTGTGCAAAAGTTTGATTAGGTCCTATTTATTTATCTTTGGTTTTATTTTCATTACCCTAGGAGGTGGGTCAAAAAAGATCTCTCTGTGGTTTATGTCAAGGAGTGTTCTTCCTATGTTTTTCTCTAAGAGTTTTATAGGGTGTGGTCTTACATTTAGGTCTTTAATCCACTTTGAGTTTATTTTTGTGTATGGTGTTAGGAAGTGTTCTAATTTCATTCTTTTACATGTAGCTGTCCAGTTTTCCCAGCACCACTTATTGAAAGACTCTCTTTTCTCCACTGTATATTCTTGCCTCCTTTATCATGGATTAGGTGACCATAGGTGTGTGGGTTTATTTCTAGGCTTTCTATCCTGTTCCATTGATCTATATTTCTGTTTTTGTGCCAGTACCATACTGTCTTGATTCCTGTAGCTTTGTAGTATAGTCTGAAGTCAGGGAGCCTGATTCCTCCAGCTCCATTTTTCTTTCTCAATATTGCTTTGGCTATTCAGGGTCTTTTGTGTTTCCATACAAATTGTAAAATTTTTTGTTCTAATTCTGTGAAAAATGCCATTGGTAATTTGATAGGGGTTGCATTGAATCTGTAGATTGCTTTGGGTAGTATAGTCATTTTCACAATATTAATTCTTCCAGTCCAAGAACATGGTATATCTCTCCATCTGTTTGTGTCATCTTTGATTCCTTTCGTTGGTGTCTTATAGTTTTCTGAGTACAGGTCTTTTACCTCCTTAGGTAGGTTTATTCCTAGCTATTTTACTCTTTTTGTTGCAATGGTAAATGGGATTGTTTCCTTAATTTCTCTTTCTGATTCTTCGTTGTTAAGGTATAGGAATGCAAGAGATTTCTGTGCATTAATTTTTTATCCTGCAACTGTACCAGATTCATTGATTAGCTCTAGTAGTTTTCTGGTGGCATCTTTAGGATTTTCTAGGTATAGTATCATGTCATCTGCAAACAGTGACAGTTTTACTGCTTTTCCAATTTGGATTACTTTTACTTCTTTTCCTTCTCTGACTGCTGTGGATAGGACTTTCAAAACTCTATTGAATAATAGTGGTGAGAGTGGACAGCCTTGTCTTGTTCCTCATCTTAGAGGAAATGCTTTCAGTTTTTCACCATTGAGAATGATGTTTGCTGTGGGCTTGTCATTTATGGCCTTTATTATGTTGAGGTAGGGCATAACTTCTATGCCCACTTTCTGGAGAGTTTTTTTCATAAATGGGTGTTGAATTTTGTCAAAATCTTTTTCTGCATCTATTGAGATGATCATATGGTTTTTATTCTTTAATTTGTTAATATGGTGTATCACATTGATTGATTTGCATGTGTTGAAGAATCCTTGCATCCCTCAGTTAAATCCCACTTGATCATGGTATATGATCCTTTTAATGTGCTGTTGGATTCTGTTTGCTAGTATTTTGTTGAGGACTTTTGCGTCTATGTTCATCAGTGATATATGTCTGTAATTTTCTTTTTTTGTAGTATCTTTTTCTGGTTTTGGTATCAGGGTGATGGTGGCCTTGTAGAATGAGCTTGGGAGTGTTCCTTCCTCTGCAATTTTTTGGAAGGGTTTGAGAAGGATGGGTGTCAGCTCTTCTCTAAGTGTTTGGTAGAAGTCAGCTGTGAAGCCATCTGGTCCTGGATTTTTGTTTGTTGGAAGATTTTAATTGCAGTTTCAATTTCATTACTTGTGTTTTAGTCTCTTTATATTTTCTGTTTCTTCCTGGTTCAGTCTTGGAATGTTGTACCTTTCTAAGGGTTTGACCGTTTCTTCTAGGTTGTCCATTTTATTGGCATATAGTTGCTTATAGTAGTTTCTTATGATCCTTTCTATTTCTGCAGTGTCAGTTGTAATTTCTCCTTTTTCATTTCTGATTTTAGTGATTTGAATCCTCTCCTTTTTTCCCCCCCTTTTTTTCTTGATGAGTCTGGCTAAAAGTTTATCTTCTCAAATAACCAGCTCTTGGTTTCACTGATGTTTGTTATTATTTCCTTCCTTTCTATTTCATTTAGTTCTGCTCTGGTTATTATGATTTCTTTCCTTTTACTAACTTTGGGTTTTTTTGTTCCTTCTCTAGTTGCTTTAGGTGTAAGTTTAGGTTGTTTATTTGAGATTTTTCTTGTTTCTTGAGGTAGGATTGAATTGCTATAAACTCCCCTCTTAGGACTGCTTTTGCTGCATCCCATAGGTTTTGCGTCATCATGTTTTCATTGTCATTTTTTTTTTTTTTTTCAAATTTGGAAAAGGGTCTTTAATTTTATTGAAGCTCATTTTTCTGGGCTCCATTGAATAGGGCTCTAACTTTGGGTGTATCTCCAACTTCAATGATTTTGGCTCCAGCTAACAACTGCAAAATCAAACCAGATGTTACAATTGGGGAGATACCCAATTGCATTAAAGTTCCTCTGTTGGATGCAAGAATAACTCCCATCCGGTAAAAAGGATCTGCAGAAACTGATGACATGATTCCAAATGGTGGTATCTGACAACATACTAAGAAGATGAAGAAAGTTATAGGAGTCCATAGTACCTTTTTTCTAAACTGGATTTTCCTTTCAGGTTTCTGAATATCTGGTAGAACTGCACAGAATGGTTTGATAACTTCTAAAAGTTAACCCCAGCGACCTTGGGGAGGCCTTCACTAGGGTCCCAAGGCTCAGGCTTCAGCACCCACTGCGGATACTCTATGTATTTTTTGATTTCCTCTTTGATTTCTTCAGTGACCTCTTGGTTATTTATTAGCGTATTGTTTAGCCTCCATGTGTTTGCGGGGTTTTTTGTTTGTTTGTTTGTTTGTTTTGCGGTACGTGGGCCTCTCACTGCTGTGGCCTCTCCCGTTGCGGAGCACAGGTTCCAGACGTGCAGGCTCAGCGGCCGTGGCTCACAGGCCCAGCCACTCCGCGGCATGTGAGATCCTCCTGGACCGGGGCACGAACCCGTGCCCCCTGCATCGGCAGGCGGACTCTCAACCACTGTGCCACCAGGGAAGCCTGTGTTTGCATTTTTTACAGTTTTTTTTCCTGTAATTGATTTCTAATTTCATAGTGTTGTGGTGGGAAAAGATGCTTGATACGATATCAATTTTCTTAAATTTAGTGAAGCTTGATTTGTGACCCAAGATGTGCTCTATCCTGGAGAATGTTCTGTGTGCACTTGAGAAGTAAGTGTATTCTGCTGCTTTTGGATGAAATGTCCTATAAATGTCAATTAAGTCTATCTGGTCTAATGTGTCATTTAAAGCTTGTGTTTCCTTATTTATTTTCTGTTTGGATGATCTGTCCATTGGTGTAAGTGGGGTGTTAAAGTCCCCCACTTTTATTGTGTTACTGTCAATTACCCCTTTTATGGCTGTTAGCATTTGCTGTATGTATTGAAGTGCTCCAATATTGGGTGCATAAATATTTATAATTGTTATGTCTTCTTCTCTGATTGATCCCTTGATCATTATGTAATGTCCTTCCTTGTCTCTTGTAACAGCCTTTATTTTAAAATCTAGTTTATCTCATGAGTATTGCTACTCCAGCTTTCTTTTGATTTCCATTTGCATGGAATATCTTTTTCCATCCCCTCACTTTCAGTCTGTATGTGTCTCTAGGTCTGAAGTGGGTCTCTTGTAGACAGCATATATACGGGTCTTGTTTTTGTATCCATTCAGTCAATCTGTGTCTTTTGGTTGAAACATTTAATCCATTTACATTTAAGGTAATTATCAATATGTATGTTCCTATTACCATTTTCTTTATTGTTTTGGGTTTGTTTTTGTAGATCTTTTTCTTCTCTTGTGTTTCCCGCCTACAGAAATTCCTTTAGCATTTTGTTGTAAAGCTGGTTTGGTGGTGCTGAATTCTCTAAGAGTTTGCTTGTCTGTAAAGCTTTTGATTTCTCCATCAAATCTAAATGAGATCCTTGCTCGGTAGAGTAATCTTGGTTGTAGGTTTTTCCATTTCATTACTTTAAATACATCCTACCACTCCTTTCTGGCCTGCAGAGTTTCTGCTGAAAAATCAGCTGATAACTTTATGGGGATTCCCTTGTATGTTATTTTTTGCTTTTCCCTTGATGCTTTTAATATTTTTTTCTTTGAATTTAACTTTTGTTAGTTTGATTAATATGTGTCTTGGCATGTTTCTCCTTAGGTTTATCGTGTATGGGACTCTCTGTGCTTCCTGGACTTGGGTTGCTATTTCTTTTCCCATGTTAGGGAAGTTTTCAACTATAATCTCTCTGAATGTTCTCTCAGACCCTTTCTTTTTCTCTTCTTCCTCTGGGACCCCTATAATTTGAATGTTGGTGCATTTAATGTTGTACCAGAGGTCTCTGAGACTGTCCTCATTTCTTTTCATTCTTTTTTCTTTATTTCTTTAGTTTTTAATTTATTTATTTTTGGCTGTGTTGGGTCTTCATTGCTGCACGTGGGCTTTCTCTAGTTGCGGCGAGCAAGGGCTACTCTTCGTTGTGGTGCATGTGCTACTCATTGTGGTGGCTTCTCTTATTGCAGAGCACAGGCTCTATGCGCGCAGGCTTCAATAGTTGCAGCATGCGGGCTCAGTAGTTGTGGCACGTGGGACCTAACGTGTGGGCTTCAGTAGTTGCGGTGCGTCAGCTCAGTAGTTGTGGTGCATGGGCTCTAGGGTATGCGGGCTTCAGTAGTTGTGGAGTGTGAGCTCAGTAATTGTGGCTCGCGGGCTTTAGAGCACAGGCTCAGTAGTTGTGGCACATGGACTTTGTTGCTCCACGACATGTGGGATCTTTCCAGACCAGGAATCGAACCCATGTCCCCTGCATTGGCAGGCAGATTCTTAACTACTGTGTCACCAGGGAAGTCCCTTCGTTCTTTATTCTTTATTCGGCTTCTCAGCAGTTATTTCCACCACTCTATCTTCCAGCTCACTTATTCGTTCTTCTGTCTCAGTTTTTCTGCTATTGATTCCTGTAGTGTGTTTTTCATTTCGGTTATTGTGTTATTCATCACTCTTTGTTTGTTCTTTACTTCTTCTAGGTCCTTGTTAAACATTTCTCATATTTTCTTGATCCGTGCCTCCATTCTCTTTCTGAGATTTTGGATCATCTTTACTATCATTACTCTGAATTCTTTTTCAGGTAGGTTGCCTATTTCCTCTTCGTTTATTTGGTCTTATACGTTTTTACCTTAATCCTCATCTGTAACATTTTTTTGTTATCTTATTTTTTTGATGGGTGGGGCTGTGTTCCTGTCCTGGTAGTTGTTTGGCCTGAGGTGTCCAGCACTGGAGTTTGCAGGCAGTGGGTAGGGCCGGCTCTTGGTGCTGAGATGAGGACCTCCAGGAGACCTCACACCAAGTAATATTCCCTGGGACCTGCAGTTCTTTGTTAGTCTAGCAGCTGGGACTTGGCGCTTGCACAACAGGAGCTCAGGCCTGACAACCAAGATCCTGCAAGCTGTGCAGCGTGGTAAAAAAAATCAATCAACAAAAAGAAAAGAGCAGAACAATAACAAAGACTAAGAAATAAAATAAAATTAGGGCTTCCCTGGTGGCGCAGTGGTTGAGAGTCCGCCTGCCAATGCAGGGGGACACGGGTTCGTGCCCCAGTCCAGGAAGATCCCACATGCCACGGAGCAGCTGGGCCCATGAGCCATGGCCACTGAGCCTGCGCGTCCGGAGCCTGTGCTCCGCAACAGGAGAGGCCACAACAGTGAGAGGCCCGCATACCACACACACACAAAAATAAAATAAAATGAAATAAGAAAAATAAAAAATATATTAGAAAAAAATAACAATAAAAATGAAACAACCATAAAACAAAGCAGAACCACAACAGCAAAAACAATTTTAAATAAAATAAAGAAAATAAAAAATATTTTAAAAAATAAAAATAAAAGATAAAAAAATAAGATAAAAAAATAAGATAAAAAAATAAAAATTCCCTGGTGCCTCCTCATCAGTGTCCTTGCCCTGATGGTGAGCTACAGCTTCCTCCCACCTCCCCAGTAGGCCTCCGAGACCTCTAGGTAGGTCTCTGGACCTGCTGTGTCAGCCCCACCTCTGTATGTGTTCCTCTCCCACAGGGGCTGGCGCAGCCAGGGGAGGCCTTGGAAGGGGGCAGTGCTTGGCCCGCCTGGACTTGCACAGCCAGAGGAGGCCCTGTCAGGGACAGCACTCGGGCTGCCTGCATGCACGTGGCTAGAGGAGGCTTTGGTGGGGGTGGGGCTCAGGCCCAGGACGCCCTCGTCTGGAACAGGCTTTGTTGGGACAGTTCACGGTCTGTCAGGACCTGTGTGGCCCATGGAGGCTTTGTGGGGAAGCTGTGCTCGGGCCACTGGGAACCGCACGACCCACAGAGGCCTTGCTGGGGGCGGTACTCAGGTCTGCCAGGACCCAAGCAGCCAAAGGAGGCCCCAGCTGGGGCACAGCTGAGGCCCAGGACCCACGCACTCAGAAGAGGCTTGGCGGGGAGCTCAGGCCCAGGACCAGCACAGCCGGAGGGAGCCTCAGGTGGGTGGGGATTCAGGCCTGGGACCCCAGCAGGCTTGCTGGGGCCTGAGCAGGCGGGGAAGAAGTATTCCCCTCCGATCCCCCAATCCCCTGAAGGTCCCTCTTCGTCCCCACTGTCCCATGTCCATGAGTGGGCACCTCTGAGCGTGGGAACATTTCCCCTCCCCCATCCCCCTTCACGGGTGCCGGTCCCATGCCACCTCTGCTTTTTTTTTTTTCACACACACTGTATTTTATTTTTACAAGAGATAAATAAACTGACACCAAGCATTGTAAATGGATGACCACAATAAAAGCAACAATGATTGCAATTACCAAACAGGAAGCACACTCATACTATGTCATAATATTGACATTCAGTCCAGTAATCCTCCACGGTAACAGCTCCTTTACTTTGCAGTGAAAATTGATTTGTATATTTTTTGCCTCTGAGTCCTTGTGGGATTTTTTTTGTTTTTATTGAAACAGAAAGTCACAAATATTATTATCATCCTCATCAGTTCACTCAGTCCCATGTAATTAATTTTTTTTCATCTTGATCTTTGTTAACACTTTTATGAATTCATCAGTTTTCCATTAGAGTTCTGAAAATGCTTATTCATTCAGTTCAGCAGTATAGTCAGTTACCAGAAACCTGTATTTGTCAGTCTTTTCCATGAATTCCTTGAAGATGAAACACTTTTATAGGAACATTTTTGCAAAAGTATCAGAGTACACCCAGAACTGTCTGTAAATGACAAAAGACTTAAAAATGACCACGGATAAAGATTTGATGAAAGTTCATAATAATGCAATTGACAAGGAAATTTAGTTATTTCTGAGATATACATTTTAAAATAATAACTAGAATTATGACTTATAACATTATACCAGAACATATAAGATTTTTAGAAATTTCATGTAATGTCTGAAACATTTATATTAACATATTTCCATACAAATAACCCAAAGAAAGTTTAGTATTAGTTGTCTTTTTTGTTTGTTTGTTTGT